ATAACCGACCAAGACAGTTAAAAAATTTATAAAAATACCATAAAGAAAACCGATATTTCAAAATTAGAAGTACCGGTGTTATATGCGATCTTGTCAGTAAGGAGCGCTTTAAAGTGCATATTTCAGTTTTAATATTTGATTAACTACTTTCATAGAGCCTTTTTGTAAGGGAAATATTTGCAAACTTTAGAAATTTAAAAGTAAATGATAAATAAAAAAACATTATCACAAAATTTTCGTAGACCCGCTACGAATGTTTTCGTAACGCGCTACGAGCAACACCTAACACACATTCGTAACTAGAAATAAAAAAATAATAATAACATATTTAAGAACTAGGTGAATTTTTATATATTAAATTAGAATTTTATAATAAGCTGCTATAGAAAAGTTATAAATAAAAAGTACCTGGCATACCAAGCAAATAAGTATTTTAATAAAATAAAATAACAATAACTGAGATTAAATTTTGTTTTATTACTATTTGTAAAGTCCTGAAAAGTGTCTTCTATAGTATGTGCTAGTTACCATCGAGTGGTGCCCAGTATCCTTGACCGCGTGTCACTGCCTGCCATCAATAACGCTTAAGATTCGCTCGCCACGCAGGCCTTGCTTGGAAAATATCTTCCTCGACATTTTTCCTTCACACAAGTAATAACATTGTTTGTAGTAAATAGCTCACAATAGCTCGGTGTAACCGTAGCGATGTACGCCTATGATTCGCTACTCAAAATTCCTACTGTTAGCGTGATAGGTGATGGTAATGTGTTGTAAATACTAAGTTCTATATTATTATTCTGTAAGTATTTTTACTTATTAGATGAATCTGATACTAGAATTTCAGTTATCTCTATAAAATTGAAGACAATATAACGAGTCTGAAGTTTTCAGATAATGAATTTACTATAGGTATTAAGCAATATTGTCCACAAGACATTGGCTGTGATAAGTGAGGTGTAACAGATTGGCTGCGGAGGAGAGGTACGTACGTACGTACAAACAACAAGTTGGAACAAATCCGGCGCGACGAGCGACGGCCGACGTATCATAGCTCGGGAGCCATTACAACAGATGGCAGTGGTTCCCGCGGGCGTCGCTAGATGGAGCCGCCACCCTCGCGGCCGCCTGCCCCCGCCGCGCGCCGCCCTCGACCAATCACCGCTGAAATACATATCTCACACTACATCACTACCTCCGCACACACACGTCATACACTGAACGTTACACTCACTTGCACCGACTTGCAGCTCCTTGCAGCGCACCGGACACTCGCTGCACTGTTTACACTGCAACTGCAGCAACACCTCGCTGATGGTAATGGAGAGTCAGCTGATTGTGACGTCATACTGCGTTGTGAACCTACTGAAATAATTTAATACCTATGAATCTGAGTAAAAAATCTGAAAATTGTTGTTAAGTAGTGTAATACAAACTTAGGTAGTGTGAATATTCACTCTCACAGATAGATACTTAGGTTTCTATTAAAATATCATTGCGTGTCATTACAGTTTAACAACATTTATGTATTAGCATATCTAATCTTATCGTAATACGTATAATCAAAACTATTTGAATTTGTATTACGTAATGGAGTAAGTGTTCCGTTTTAGCATAATTATCAGTACTACGAATAAAAAAATATAATATTGTTACCTATTTTGTAATCCTTTCTTGATTTTCTCCAAAACTCAATTTTGAAGATCTCTAAAATATAATTTAGTATATTTTAGCCAAGGGCGGGTAGTCTCTACACAATAGTGTGTAGATACTGATTGTATGCACCTGTAGCTGAGTGCTAAGCGATGTAACAAGAGCTGGTCAATTAGTGGCTCGCAGTACCTACCTGTGGCTGGAACTGTCACACATACACCTACAACATTTCAATATTAACACATAATTAGTTCTACACTAAAGATTTAAGTAGAAGGAACATCTGTGTTAGAAACTAAGCTGTCCCGCAGTATGAGTGCAGTAGCGGTCCCCACAGGCTCCCCAATTACCGCGAGTTGTTGGTGTTATTGTGATTGATGGCCGGTGGCCGGCAGCCAGCAGACGCATCCTGCAATTGTCCGTCTAGACGCTGTGTCTGCGCTGACTCCCGCCCTGCTCCGACAGCCTCAGACACGTGTCTGTCACTCCACTTGTTACTCAATCACAAATGCAATATCTATTCAATCAAACTGTTTTGTGACTTGCTTTTGTTAGGTTCTTCAACTTGAGATTTTTTTATAAGCAAGTCGTTTTAATTTCCATCCAAGTACACAAGTACTACAATATAAGTGGCATACATGTTTATAGTACGATAAAACAAATTCCATTAGTCCGCCATTCTAAACAAATACAGCACAGGCCACAAATTACACAATAATGACGATCAACTATTAGCATAGTGGCTGCCGGCCGGAGCGGGCCGACAATTAATATAAACCATTACTTTAATACGCACGAGCTGTTACGGGCGAGTGCCGCCGCGGTACAAAATCTGATAGGCAATAACCGATCATACGTCGATCTCGATTCACTCTCGGTATCGATTGAGTCGGTCGCGGTATGATTAACATAATGACATTGTTAGTGGATGCAAATAAACTAGTTGCGTAGCCCGACTTCCTTCCCACACGCCGTCGCTCGGGCCGCGGCCGTAGCACGGGGCGCCGCGCAGTGCTGCTACGTTTGCTGTCCACGATGTACTGACGGTAATTGGATCTGTTGCAGTCGCAAATCGATTGCGGTGCATTAACTGTCTCACGGCTTATGATATAATATCGACTTGAGCCGTAGTTCTTCACTTGTTCAATTACATTTTTGTTAGATATACTTTACTTTCCATATATTTGTTGATACCGAGTCTTTTGACTGTTTCCAATTCATATATAAATGCCTTATTATGTGTAATTATAACTAATTATTTAGTTACTGTATGTTGGCTGCAGTCTTTAGTGTGGCGTCATGTAAACAGTGTCGCGGTATTCATATATGTAGTTTAGAAGCTCATCGCTTGAGGTACTTTGTGTCACCAACTCGTCTCATTACAGTATCGATATTTGGAGCAAGAGTTCCAGTTGTCTGTAAAATAAGTTTTGTTACTAATTCGAAGAACATTAATCAAGTTTTTTCTCTTTAGTGACACAGTATGTGGCGATAGGAAGTTACGGTCAAACATTAGTCAGACATTTTCCACTGTGCTGACTACATATAGAACTGAACTAACTACAGACAAGCAGGCACATTGACTCGATATTCAATTTCCTCCGTAGTCGAGTTTCTCTATGCAGTACCGATGTAAGTACATCTGTAAGAAATATTGTGTTCCGAGGTATCGGCAGCTGGTCGAGCTTCCTCCTACACTTCCTTCGACAACAGCTTTCAAACAATTTTCTCGACACTGCGCCAATAACTTTCTATAAATCATCATAAATTCTATCTCCTGTTCATGAAAATGAAATTAACAAATCGTTTCGCCGTGTATTTCTTGAAGAGATAGGCAGCACCACTTTTTACACCTTTAATAATCTGTAATACAAATGAGGTATAGTTTTGAGAGGTTTGAGCGTTCACTATACATGTTTGGCGGTGTCGCCAAGCATTAGTAAATAATATGTAGGTATATATAAATACAAATATTGCTGGAAGTAATGGATGTTGCACACGAACGTTAATTACTTGCCGCCATATCGCTGCGTTACACTGACCGCTACTAATTGCGAGCTGGCGTTAACTGGACTTGGGCCTGTACCTCTCCACCCACTACGTATACTATGAAGTTGTCAACGAGTCTTTGTGACATACATCACAGATTTTTTGTTTTTTTTATTGTAAGTGCAGCAATCTCAATACTCACCAGAATCACGACGTAGTCAGCAACTCTCAGACACACTATCTCCGTTTTCTGTCTGCGTTTATTATTATGTAAGAAGAGACTGGATAAGTAGTTCTGGTGATAGTTGTAACTTCTACATAGGACAAAAATAGCTATTGTATTGTAAATACATATAAGTTATTCGAATCGTTGCTCATGAGCTGCATAATAAGTTCCTCCACATTTGTGCTCCTGACAAGTACTATCGCAACAAAAAGCACAATTTTTTTATTTGCTCATTGCTAATTGTAACATCTTGTACTTATACCTGGATTCAAAGCCAAAGTGTGATGTTTAATGTTAATGATAAAAGAAAAAGATAAATGGTCGATAATTATAACTTGATTGGTAGAGTATAAATTTTGTTTCATAATTATTATAATTTTCGAGTAGTGTAATGCTTTTTAAACTGTACTGTTGAAATAAATAAATATTCAAAGTAAAAGTTCGAGTTATAATGGTAAGCGTGTAGTGGAAGGTGTGATGTATGGAGGTCAGTCCAGCACTTGCTTTGTTCCATGTTCGTGGCACATTACGTACATAATGTCGCCTCCACAATTACTGCTGGCTCACACAACTTTGTATTAACTTCTTTGTGTAACATTATTGTGTTGATATTCGACCTACAATTACTTTCCATGTGAAAGGGTTGTACCTAATTGGAAACTTTTCTTAATGTTATGTAGCAGATGATTCGTGAGCTTTATTGCAGCGACAGCGCAGTTATAGTGCACACCGGCTAATTAACAACTAGTTACTTTTCGAACATAATTAGGACGTGCGCTGCGTATTCATGAGTGTTGTACCTCAACAATGCCCTAACGAGTTCCCTGTAAACAAATACAAAGGGATAACGATATCAATAACAAAAAGGCATAAAATTGAATAAAGGCATTACATCATTGTGGCGACAGGTCGGCAGGTGTGGGGCCGCCTGCGCCTGCGCGTGCGATCGCGATAATGCGTAACAGTCATGGCCCTTAAATTTGACGACATGCGACATGTCCTTCGCGTCACACTTTTGTTTATAGCCGTTTAGTTACAACCAGGAAATAGGCACTTCCAGCTGATAAGTTAAATATTGAACATGTCGCTGCCGCGCTCCACCTGATAACGTAATATTTACAGAACCACCTCCGGCTCATTTCAGTTTCATGCTGGTTGCTAGTGTTTGGTAGCCCGCAGTACGGAGTGCAGTGCGTAGTTCGCAGCATTGTGGTTCTATAGGGAAATATATGTAAGGTCGCGTCAACAGGCGGCGCGTGCGCAGCGCCGTCTGTTGACGCGATACGCATACGCTGTCGTAGAGGAAGAGCTTACTGAGCGCTGAGCCTTCGGAAACAGCCGCCAATAATAAGTAATGGAGCCGGAAGCAGAGTGTGACACTTCCTGTCCAGCGACGCGACGGTGGCGCCCCCGCGCTCCTGCTGGTGCAAATTACGCGCCGGTAATTTGTTGCTGTTGACATCTAAATTATGGTTCCGGTGTCACTTAACGTATGGCCGTCGAGTCTTTCAAGCTGCTTCCACTGCATTGCCGTTTACTATTACAAGAAACTTTATTTTTTTCACGCCGTAAGAATCGTTACGGTTTTTTGTTTGTCGTTAATTACGGTTGTGCGTCGGTAAACCATTTTGTGCACGGTAATGTAACCAAAAATGTTTAATCTTTATTAGGAACCTACCTGCTCCATACTTGTTCGAACCTTGGACTATGGATGCATGCATGTACACTGTGTTGTAGGACGAATCAGCAGTGTTGTAGTGACATCAATATACCTCCTCGTGCAGTCGGAGTCCAACAATAATTCTGGGATATGAATATGTACTACCTAGTGTATTTCAAATGCATCAGTGCTGGCTGCACTGCCTGTATCTTTAACTCGCTTGAAAATGTTAAATGTTATAGGAATCTGCAGTTAATATTTTTGCGTTATAAGAAATAGATATTTAGATTTATTAGAAGAGATAACATGATAGTTTTTACTTACTTTACAATAATTAAACAATTAATGAAGTAAATAACTTTGCTTATGATCAAGAAGAAGATCATAATATATGATGCACAGGAGCAGTGCAGGTTGCGCGGGACGGGGGGCGCGGGGCGAGGCCGCCCGGTCTGCCACCGACTGCTTCATCAGCCCATCACTACACCAGCTCACTGGACGATCATCGCCACATCGTGCTGGAGATATAGGTAACAGTCTCACATTTTAAGTATTTAGTTGTCATATTCTTAGCAGTCATCAACTGCATCCACTAACTCTACAATACTTTGTTTCCTAGTTCCGTTTTGAGTGATAGGTAATTCACATTGATTTTGTTATTCATAAGTAATTTTTTTTCAGTTTTACGTTTTACTACTAGCAACGTAGGTAATAATTGACAAAGCATTATTTCGAACCCAACAATTAGCAAACAATAGAAATCGATTACCTTAGCTCCACCATAAAAAGATAAAAACACGAAGGAAAACAAAAAGGGCGAGGCATCTACTAGAGAGGCATCACTCGGTCCCGAGCAGAACAAATAAAACATTAGCCGAGTCAAAAGCTAACAAACTATAAACCCCGGCGAGGAACCATATTAATTTGACATATACCGCTCATCCGAGGGAACAGCAGGTGTTCCTAAATTGTCTATGATAAATACGCGCCATCAATATAGCAGGGCGACGGCGACGGCCACCCTTTCATGGCCGGAATATAAAACCGTAATTGTGGTCACGCCGTTTATCCGGAACACTTACGAGCCGGCCAGGTACGCCGTACCGCCCGACCTCACTGCCACTCGACATGGCCACTGAGCCAGCTTGCCCTTACAATATTCACTCGCTGATTATATCAAGGGTAGAATTTTTCGAATGCTCTATTAATTTGGGCTTTTTATACATATTGAAGAATTTACTACAAATAAATAAAGGAAACTTTATTTATTAAATCTTTATACAGGCGCTTTTTGCGTCAGGTTTCTAATGGTTGATATTTAGTCTTAGAATTAAAGTTAATCATAATTTATAGACGTGAATTTGATTTGGGTGATTGAGTATGCACACAAAGCGCTGTATGTGTTTGGGGCCTATGACCAACTCATCAGCCTATAAGTGCTCACTTCTGAGCAAAGGCCTCTTCTCACGCGGAGAAGGATTTAGCAATTATCCCCATATTTGGTCAAGGCGGATTGGCTATTTCAAAAATTATAGATTATTCTTATGATACCTAATTATTTTTTTCCCACACGATGTTTTCCTTCACCGTTTGTCAGTGGTGTCTAAATAATCATAGAAAGTAGATACATATAACTCGGCAAAAGTCACATTGGTACTTGTCAGGTTTCGAACCCGTGTCGTCATGTATGTAAGCGCGGCCAGGCACTCAGCACTCGGTCTACTTGAAGATATCCCAAGTTGTTGAGTGCGGACATATTGTCAGCACTGTATAACATTTTTGAAACATCAAAAATAATCTATTTGTATCAAAAACTAATCTATGTAACAACATCGCCGAGCAGAGTTATCGTATTAAGATTGTCGAAATTCATAAAAGCTGGCGTAATCACAGTGCGCAGTGTGTCGATAGTCGAGGACGTTAGATTTGTTTGCACAATTCGAAACTTGTTTCGCTTGGCCTGGAAATCGAACCCGAGTCAAATAGACAAAATATTGATACTAGTGACAGATACCATTTACTCTTTTGAAAGCCCTCGGATGCAGTAAATTAAACTAATTCGTGGAAAGGCAACCGCGCAGTTTTGTTTTAGTATCGGCTCAATAATTGCGTCTCGTGTAACTGTTCATGTCAGCGAGATTCTTAATCCGAGGCAATAAAGTGGCCGACTAAATAATTTGGGTGTCGCCTGCGCCGGCGTCGCTGCGAAACGTCGTAAGTGGCAGCGTTAGGTGCGCAGACCCATAGATCCCACGCGCCGGCGAGCCCGCGCCAAACTGGTCGATCGACTCTTGCGCAACTCGGAGACTACAGTTGGTTTCCAATTTTATGTTGACCGGTTTCAAAGTTGTCTTAGCCTTCTAATTTCGGCTCGTTTAGATTGGAAAATACGTCGACAAAGATATACCAAATGAAACTCAGGTGAGATCAGGGCCCATGTTTTCACTCACGTATCGCGCCGCCGTCACCCGCATTCAAATTCCTACCGATCATTGTCTGCCGCTGCGCTGCTGGCCACTCATTAATTAAACACCGGGTAACTTTCAAAGCTATTTCCCACTTTCGCATAAATATGTCTATTTTTAGACACCTAAGTTTCACTGAACTTGTTGTAGGATATTAGGTTCATCTCCTGTGCGTCTTATCTACACCTACATTTGCAAGCACACTCACAGTTAACGTGCTTAAAATACGTAAACTTATATTATAATAAGTTACGAATATTTTGTTCTCCTGTAGTACTGTTAATTACCATATGAGAAGGAATTTTATTTTATGTAACCAAGTCAATTTGAAATCAAGAGGAGGTCTAAATCATTACTAGGAATTTCAAAATTCGTAATCGTAATGTTACCTATATGATATGTCCTGCACGATCGATTGCTGCGATTGAAAGCACTCACGTGCCTCAGTATTGGCCGTAACTCTTAGAGCTCTCCTTCCAAAAGACTAAACATGAGGTTTAGGTAGCGTGTTGATACATTATAGAGCTATAGTCGGCTGGACGTGATGGGCGTGTTGTGGCCGCGGCATGTCGCGCGGTGTCGCGTGTCGCGGCGCGGCGCGGTGCGGCGCGGTCAGTCCCACGCGTGCCCTGTACAAATACTGTCGGCGGGAGTCCGCGCACAAATCAACGCGATCGGACGTGCGCGCACTGGACCCCCCCTGGCATCAGCTCACCAGGGCTGCCCAGTGGCTGCTTGCTATATGCCAATATCCATGTTTAATCTAGTATCTAAATGATTTACATGTGTAACTAATTGTCAATCGATAGTCATATTTTAAACATAGGAATTCTGATTTTTTTATGTTAAGTATCTTTTGCTCATATGAGGAAAGATTCTGTTTTCTGTTGAATTCCATCACATATTCCCAGATACGAGAGGCGGTGGTGGCGGGCCAGCCCTGGTGTGGCCCCCCGGCGCGGCGACAGCGGCAACATCTCTCACCTCGGGGCCCCGTAATGAACAATATAAATGTGCTATTTGCCGGCCAGCCGGGCCCCGCCGCGCCGGCCTCGACACCCTCCGCACCACTCCACGCACAGGTATCTATGGCGCGCACTCGCCTCCTACCTATGGCTAATGCTAGATACTAACCATGATTTACCGTCTTGTATTCGCTACTGAATCTATAAACTCATAATTTAACTCTAGCGCAATAAATAAACGTTTAAGTGCAGGCAATCTGTCGTATCCATCTCAGGATTGCGGATAATAAAACTGTTGACGATTTGTTGAATCCAGGTGGCAGGTATCTCTGAACCGGTCTGCTGTAATTATTATTCACTATTTGAGTATTATAAAAGTGAAGGTTTTTGTAAATGGTAGGTACTCATAAGACGCAGCACACAATCAGACACTGCCGTAATAGGCCACAAAGTGCAGTTTAAATATAAAATTGAAGGGTCGGGACGCAGCTAACAAAATGATATTTGTAAGCAAAAAGTTCTAAATTTGTATAACGACTAGATTACTCATTCGATTGCCTATTAAGAAAATTGTCCTTTAAAAGTCGACCCTTTCAAGGGATGTGACAGACTATTATATTATTAGAATCGTTTTTGGTAATGATAGGGTCGGAGTACGCGACCACATCGCCGGGAGGGACTAATCGTGCGCGCACACAAAAACTTTGGGCACTTCATTATAGCTATACGCGGGCATTAAAGGCCCTCTCGAGACGACGACGGTGCGCCGCAGACAGTTGATTTTGCATTCCTTTACGGTGACTGGAGCGAGCACGGAGCTCTCTGACAGGGCTGCGGATGATATAGGAGAGGAACCAATTAACCGACCAGATTAAAAGGTACATCTAAACAGCGGTGAGGAAACCAGTGGACGGAAACCTCGGACAAACGAAAACGTCGCGCCGTGTTAGAGCCGGACCGACAAAGCTCCGAGAACATCAGAACACAAATCTAAAGATAAACAGACAATAGTAGCGGTAAAAAACGACCACAACCCCGGAGCCGGTGGAATTTGGAAACGAAAATCCCGGATCGCATTTTGCGAATACTCTCGCGTGTTACTGCATTATTATTTAAGTTGGGCCTTTTAAAAAATGGTTGAGATGGTCGGCGGATGTTTTTTTGGAGGCGCGTGCGCAGGGCATAATTGGCGCGCCGGACGCGCAGGAGCGAACGCTTTTTGCGAAACACATCGAGCCATTAGAGACTTAACGGAACTAAGTCGACAGGTTATATTAGAGCTCCGATATCCGTTACAGTCTATTGAAGCTCTGCTACACCTGTGGATGAAGCAGTAGCACAGTAGAGACGAAGACCATAAAATGAAATGCTCTTGAATACCGGCAATGTAAAAAAAAACACCGAATAGAATCTATATTTGCTAATAAGAAATTTTCATATCAGTACTTGACATAACATAATTGTTACTCTAAATACCTTGTTGCCTTAAATGTTAGTATATACTTATGGAGAATGCCGAAATGTAACGAACACGAGTACGAACGACATCCTGAGATTCAGGTAAGAAAGGGTACACGAGACCTTTGGATACAAAATTGGTCGAATGTTGCTCCGAGCGATGGTTGACCGACGAAATGTTTCATTCCTTTTACACTACACAAAAAGTAATTTAGATCATGATGACGGGATCCAATGCGATAACAGGAATCCCGTTGCGTAGCCCGGGGTGCTCGACTGCGGTGACCGGCCGGAGTGCTCGTCTGCTCGGACCGAGCTGTCTGAAGGAGCCTTCCGAGCACTGGAGATTACTCTCGAGGAGGAGCTTGATTCTTCCTTTTGTGTACTGCGACCTCCGGGCGAAGCTCAGTGTGTCACGCGAGTGGCGCTGACCGCGGGTGTCAGGGCGCATCACTCTTGTGTGTCCATCAAACGTCATTCCTCTCGCTAACACAATGGAATAGACTGCAAAAATGGGTACGCGTGTCGCAGCCCCGGCCGACCTAACAATGGATTCAAAAAACAAACAATCAGAATAGAAATCGAAAACAGAACCTCTTGCCAAGCGACAGAACGGGATTTTGGAAATCCGGTTTTAATTTTTGTTTAGTTTTGTCGGTTGTACCTCTGTGGCGCTATTGTCGACATGTCACTAGTTCGGGGACACGATAATACCAATCGAATGGGACATCTTTTAAACTATTTTACCAATAGTTGTCCAATCAATATGCGCTTTTGAAGATAAACGAATACTCCTCCGGCTATATGTAGGTATTTCAATTGTGATGTGTTCATATAATTCGTTCATTGTTGTGACAACTGTTGTACTTTAATTGGTATTACATAATAAATTATTAAATTAGTTGTTTTGCCTTACTAGTATCTGCCAGCAAGCACGCCTTCGGGGAAAATAGGCATAAGTTTGATACATTATTGTTTATTACTATGTATTCCAACAAATAAATTCGTTTTAAAAACATCACCAACGTATTTTTGTAGATGTGTTGTTTAAGTTTAATGGGTATTTTTAGGATTTGCAGCAGAAATTGTTGGAATATTGTGGATACTGCAGATAATTTAGCATCATCATCAAACATAATACTACGTTAAATTAACATTGGTTGTAACAATTATTATTACATCAACAGGAAGTTGTGCTGGAGCAATATTGTATAACCTTGTAAAAATGTTTGAGAATTTAATTTTGCAGTCAGTACAGGGGGTGCGGGGTCATGGGGCAGAGGCGACGGTGTCACCCGGCCACTGCTGCCTCAGCACGCACCACATTGTGCCAGCAACACACGACACACGACACACGACACAAATACTACAACCGACATTTGTTATAACCAGTACTGCTACATTACATATCAGCACATTACAAAATTCTTTACATATTCTGATAACTATATAGGTTTAAAAGGATTCTTAATTGAAATTGAGATTTTCTGTTAAACTATAAACTTTATTGGTTCTAAGTTCGCAATGGCAGTAATCGTAGAAAAAAAAAATTGAGCATAGACTAAACATAAAGTAAACACAGATAACAAAATTATTTCAATGCTATCCTCTGACAGATTAACAACATAAACTTTATGTAATGTGCTAAATAAAATGATATATTCAACATATTCATTGTACCCATGTTCTCTTGTTATTAAATACATTACTACATTAAATCTAGTATTAATTTATTACTAAAATAGAATTATAAACATTTTTACTAAGACGTTTTACTCTCCTCTAACATCTTTATTACTAATTAGGGTACGTTAGTTTCAACTTCACACTTATCACTGTGGACCATGGACCTTAACAACATGCGTGTTGCTTTCTGCGTTGCACCTATGGCTGCTGCATCCTTTAGCCAGTAGCCAGTAGAAACGAAAGCTGAACAGAAGTCGATCAATCAAATGTAAACTTACTTGAGCTCGCAGTGGCAGTTTGCAGTGTGAGGGAACAATGAGGTGCAGAGGCGGAGGTCAGAGCAGCGCTTGCGACAGCCGACCCTCGACCCTGATTGTTGTGTGCAGCCAGCAACCGGGCATTCCCACCTCTTCCATACTCTGCTGGCTAGCAACCTATTAAGCCGTTACATTTATTCTCTACCCTACTGAAGTAGTATCTATCCAGTCATGTTTAGTGGGTATCTACATACGTGGACAAGGTGGGTGTACTGCACTATTATCTAACTCATTAATAAAGATGAAATTTATTTTTAACCGACTTGAAAAATAAGAAGTGTTATAATAGTTTAAAAGCTGCGTTAATAGTTTCCAACTGTTAACATTAGGTGACAGTTTGTGTAATAATAACATATTACGTACATATTTTAACAACTACCGTTTAAAAGTCCGTTGTTCGAAGTAAGAAAAAAACAACAAAAAATCAACAGTCACGTTACTATAAAAAATAATCATTGTCAAAAGGTGAGAAAATCCGCTAATTAACACGTCGCTAGGTGCCGCCCTCCCGGCTGCGATTGTTCCGACGCCACCCATTGTGGGCCCAGCTTTTATCAAAGTATAATTAGCTTTTGTTCAGGTGTATTATTTTTTGAGTAAAATCCTCGATCGAGCTCCCCATTCACTTGCAAATAGGGAAGCCCGTGTTTACGTCTCGATGAACAGTTATTAGGGAACAGAACACTTTTTGTGAATTTGTCATCCCGCCGAACGATCCAGTCACGCTAGCTAATTGGCACTCCTACTTGGCAGCAGCAGCTCAAGCAAATGCTGACGAGCGCGTGAGAGATGTGCGCTGACCGTCCCTAGTGCGCAAGCGCGTGCCGCTTTGTAAACTTTGTATAATTAATGTGTAAGAGTGACGAGATACCTGCTCCGGCGCATGCGCCACACAGGTGCATAAGCTTTATTTGTAGTTTTTGCTTCCACTTCCCCTTTGCATAAATTAACATTTTTGCAATTGTGTACTGCAAGTTTCTCCTGCCCTGACATTGTCACTTGCGACCTGTCTGTTTCTAAAAGACATCGTCTAATTATGCAATGTCTTACGAATATTAATTAAAAATACTCCCGGAGAAATATTTAGTTATCCAAAGACTCATCATTTCACACAATGTTTATATCTAGTTCAAGTTATTATTTTTATTTGTCGAACTAGTCACAGATCACTGAGCACTTTGTTATCTATTGCAATCATCTCAACATCATTTTTATTTTATTCTAAAAGCAACACTACAGCGATTTATATAAAGTTTAAATTACAAATTATTTGAAATGTCTTGAGCGTCTTCCATTCCGTTTGTTGTTGGTGTAATAATGAGACTTGTGTAGAAAGCATAGGACTGTGTTTTGTTTGGCAGGCGGTGCGCAGTGTCACCTGGTCGGCAGGGGTCGGCAGCTGGTCCATTGTGGGGCGCATCACTTGACTCCCGCGAAAGGGATGCCTCGCCATGTGAACCGCTAACGGAATCCTGAGAACTCTCGCAGACACCAGGACTCGCCTGCACAATATTGTGTACTCACCAACAATATACATACACTCTATTATTGATTATCTGTTTTATAACTATCAAGATTCGATTTTCATTTTGTCACATCTCTTTCAGCCAATAATAAGCTACAATAATATCTATTTAGCTATCCAATGTCACTAAAATGTTTTTTTGAAATGCAAATACAGAATATCAATAAGTATACCAAAACACGATTTTTATTTACTCGAAGTGTCAAATAAATAGCTCGCACGTCTAGATCTCGGAGTAAGTTTCTTAAATTATTAGCTAGTTATTACCCACATTTCCAGTTATCGAAAGTTGTGGTTTACTTAAATGTATTCTAAAAATTATAAATTAGAAAAAGAGAAGTTACAAAAATACGAGTATCGGTTCGTGTTGCCGATTTTCTAATATATCACAAACATTAATATGGTCGCGACCGGTTCTCGTGAGATCCGTTAGTCGTTTTATGTAAATTATTTGGTTTATGGCGTGCCTCCTAGTTTATATTCGAATGCTTTAAAAATACACCTCGACGCGGCGTAGAAATCGATCTCGTACTTACGCTGATTAACTGAGATATGGAACCAAATTATAGAAAGTATTATTTATCGCGCACGCGCATCGTCAACATGCCATTAGCAGCTTCACAACAGGTCACCAGCGCTGTATACTGATACGGTGCACTTAGTAATGCTCATTGCCCCGGTGCAGGATAAAGGAACGGGATGGTTTTTAGTCAGTAAGAATCTGACACTCCCTCTCACCTTACCCGGTTGGTCGGCAAAAGATATTTAATGATTTTCGCCTCCTAAAAAACTTTAGACACTCCAAAGGAGGTACTAACTGATGATGTGACTGATCAAATTCCGAATATCGACTAACCTAAAACCTACGGGTGATTTAAGAATCGAATTCGATCATCGAAATCGAATTCAGCAGTAGAACTAGTGTATTTGAGAACGATTCGGTCTAATGTTGATGAACCTTTCGGCTGATTCATAAAAAAACGTTAGCACCTTCAAGGACCAGATCAAGTGGCGGGCGGCTGTGGGCGACGGTCGGCTGCATACTTACAGTTGGTACAGTTGCTGTTTACCTGGTTTGGTAATAATTCGTGGGAAAATAACAGAATATAAAGTTGATTTGGACGCCGTTACATGTAAAACTTGACATTTCAATAGCCAAGATGTTTATAATGAAAAGAATTCGATTAGTATGCACCGCGCGGAGGGCGCGTTAGACCGCGCCTAGGGAAGCGCGACCAAACTAGTTTGTGACCAAACGGACATCACATAGAAGTACATTGTCCAGATTAATGCACAAAACCGGATGCTGCGTCTCCCGGCCATCGATGAAACGGTCACAAACTATAAAACCAGCCCCAAACCTCTTTATGTCATCTCTAGCGCTGCCCTTTCATAACGACACTCGCGGCCCATTCATCACGGCCAGATGAAAGGAATCCGTATAATCAGCTGATGGTCGAGTACCCGTTCGTCCACACTAACGGTCCATCTTTGATCAATTATCCGATCGACTAGTCCTACCTCCCCAACCGCTCGCGCTGCGTCTAACGAATTTTTGATTCACTCTCATAGAAACGGAAAGCTAACCAGTTTTTTATTTCAATAACGCATGATTCTTCTCGTATGATAATACGCAGGTTATGAACGTTTAGAGATATCCGTTGAAACTGGAGATACAATGGCTGCGGGAGAAATCGTCGGAGGATGCGCGAGACAGAGGGCTGAGATAATATCGTGTTTCGTGAACTCTGCGCCGATGTCTAATTTCCAATACAATGGGTGCCGTAAAAAACTGGCCTAAAATAAATGTGTCACAGTGCCACCCTCAGGCGGGCAGACAATGGACAAAGGAGCCCTCAAGAGCGTGCGTGAGCGCATTTAGCGACGCCACAATGCGCTGCGCCCACGCGCTTTGTGAGCATTGTCGCGTTACACAATCGCGCAGGAAGATCGATCCGACGCGACGATCGCATCTCTAGGAGACACGTGTGCTGCTCACTCGAACAGACGAAAAACATGTAAATCACATTATTCTCGAGGTGAAAGTTGAACGAGACGAGGAAAGTAAAAGTCTTGCGGCAGACGCGTCAATGTCGCATCTGCGCCGCGGCGATATCATATTATGTTAATGCATTGGAAGCGCGGCCGAAGGGATTGTGCGATTGTTGGCCCTTATCGTGTTTGGCTTTACAATGCGTGTATTGTGTTTTTAGACAACATACCAAAAAACTCCTGTGTTCCCTTGAGGTATGTTCATTTAGTTTCATTTCATCCTCTCCATGATCTTACGACAAATCGCTGTCACAGTAAAGACGCTATTCATTATCAATTTGACATCATATTTTGTAAAGATTTGGTACACAATGATTTATGTTTCCTCGGAAGCGATGGACCTACCAGATTATTAAATGTTCGAGAATATTGGATGAGGATTGCTGGCATGCCGATACTGTTTACATGTGAACATAACGCTGCGCGCCTAATGAAGACGAGCTACTAATTTCAAGTTTTAGAATACGATTGACACACTGGTATTAAAGAAGCTGCCCAATAAAACAGTGAGGTGCGTCGCGAAAGTGAATGTATGCGATGAGATATGGTGCACTAAATCGTTTTTAATCATGTTTTTGATTGAACCGCGGTTGATAATGATCTTCGATTAGCGCGAGCCATAAGCCAGCGGCGGCGCTGCGGACCTCGCTAAATAACGACATTTGTTGCTAATGGATTGGACAGTTTGTACTTCTCGCATTGATGGCAATCTGTGAAACAGTAATTTGTCGCGCGGAGGGCGTCGCGTCGCGTCCGCGGCGGGCGGCTGCCATATGTCGCGGTCGCGGCTTTGCCTCGTCGAGCTGAGTGCGGTTAAATCGTAAGTGCGGTGAGCACGTGCATTTTAATTGTTCTATTAAGTCTTGTTTGGGGTGGCGACATGACGCGCTGTGTTGCTGCGACTTTGTATCGCCATAACGTCCTACTGTCGAATATTACCGCCCTACATAGTTATGCTAAATGAGTTCTCAGGTTCAATTGCTGGTCGTTAACCCGAACACAGATCAAATAAAAATTTATAGCTTCTTACTATACCAATTAGATAAAGTTGACTTAAAGAGGAATCAAAAGGGCAAGCTACCTAAACTAATGTTCAATGTACCTAAACTAATGTTCAATGCAGTAAGCAGTTTGACATAATTAGCCAATAGGATTAGCATGATTTTATGAAGCTTTGCATGATTTTATGAAAGAAATATTACAACTCTTACAAATAGGTCAATTGCAATTCGTCTATAAAAAAAATTGTTTTGTGTGAGTGGCGCCCCCTCGCGGCCGCGGGCCCATTGTGGAGTCGTCCGATTCGGCGCACCTATTGTGCTGCTGCTTCCAGCCACAACGTAAATAAAAGCAGATGTTGCCATACTCCAAAACATAAAAACACGTCTAATACGGCCGCATACGAAACGGGTAAACTGAATTGAACCCAATTGGCACTGTTGAGAGCTGAAATTTGCATTCTTATAGCAAACTTAGTTTTCTCCTTGGATTGTTTTATGTTTGTGCTTCTAGCGTCCGAATTTCTGTTGATGTGGGTAGTTGTGTAAAACTATTTAAGTCGAAGGTGTTATTGAGCAAGTAAAGCAGGACATCGTGTGTCGAGCAATACAGGTATACGAGCGAATGCAGCTACAGAATGTCAAAAAAATGTGAATCAGTTCTGTGAGTACAGCACTAATGGTCAGAACCTCGATATTCAAACATTAGTTTTGGGACGTTACAGCAGCATAGATCCCAAGTATTTTTCTAAGAGTGTGCAGCAAGTAACGCGAAGCCACTAACAGACAGACAGACTGCGTTAACAATGCACATTGTGGACATTAGAAGTCGTTAATGGCTGTAACCACAACATGATTGTGGTGAACAAAACGCATCATTTGTCGCTGAGCGCATAGTTGCCGGCTGATTGATCAGCCCCGCGCCACGCACACAGTGCTGCACTGTTGACGCTGCATGTTTGCTGCGTGTATGTGTGTGTGTTCGCGTGGAACACACTATTGTTCACAACAAATCGCATCTCGCTGATGTGCTTTATCGACCACAAGATAGTACCTATTACAATTTATTATAGTTATTCATAAATTAATTTTATTGGTAATCAACATGTTCTCTTTTAGTGTGTTTGTACAATTATAAGTAGGTATGTGCTATGTGTACCTATAATTTCATTTGTAGCTATGTGTATAAATAAAGCTTTTATATCATCAATACATTTTCATTTTCCATATTTATTATAATTATGATTATTAAAATAGTAACTAGATGCAGCAAACAAAATGATGATAGGCAATTTTTTATGTCATATAATGCGGGATTACCTTATGGTAAGCAATCAGCGCCGCCCATGCACACCCGCAACAGAGAAGTTACGAGTGCATTGCCGACCTTTTGGGGATCAGGAATTTGGAGATTAAGGGAATGGGAACTAAATGACATAACTGATATATCACTTCATAAAACCTTATACATAATGAAATTGATATTTTATTAAATTGATCACTGCATCCTAATAACATAAACAAGAAAGTATCGCTGGATAGATGGATGTTTATTACTTTTCACGTAAAATCTACTGAACGGATTTAAATGAAATAGAGATAGATTATAGTCTGGAGTACCGCATAAGTTATTTTTGACCCCGACACTGTGGGCGAAGGCGCTGGCGGAAGCTAGTATACAATACAATGGCCAGTGAAGTGGTTTTAATGTGTTTATTTATTCATAGCAACATATAATTAAAATATATTGGTGCGATGTGTTCACATGAACAAACAGACAAACATATGATGATAAATGATGTAACAATGAATATTTCGCGGCGCGGCCGAGTGCAGTGACGCTTGTAATCGAATCACTCGGAGCTCTCCCGCGCCGTGCACTCAAATACCTACTCGTAATTATGTTACGTCAGGCACTAACCACCCTTAACACATACAAGAATACTCCTTGACAATTATTGTATACTAGCTACGCTCACGCGGTTTCACCCGCTGCTCGGCTTCATTTGATTGTAGCGTGATGTTTTATAGCCTAAAGCACTCAGGAAAGTTGTAGCTATCTATTAGTGAAAGAATTTTAGAAATCCGACCAGCGGTTCCAAAGGTTACCCCCTAGATACAAACTTACTAAGCTCTTTATAATATTAGTATACATTTAAGCCCAAGACAGTACCACAGACATTCTCTGCACAAACGAAACTTTTCATGCAGAGAGAAGTCAATGGTAAGAAAAACCGTGTGATTACTAAATTATATATATTTTGTAAACTTATGGCTTGCCTCTAGAGAAAATGGATCAGAATAATTATGTAAATATGTAATGGAATTTGGCAAACCATGTGGAAGGTAAACAAAATAAGTTAGATTACGAGTTGCATGATATGAGGGTGCTAGTTGCTGAAAAGTTTAAAAACTGAAAATAAATTAATCTTAATCACACCTCACACGTTACACGCGGCAATAAACTGTGTCCCGTATGTTGCTCGCTAGTCGCTATGCTGCGATCCGGGTGCATTGCAGCTTATTGGCAATGTGGAGTATGCTGCAGCGGCATGCGGGCCTGCCTGAGTTGGCCACGATTGATGAATGTAGTCAGGTGACGTGTTCACACTTTTGCAGCAGTATCTGTAATGAGAATCAAGAATCATCAAGGTGGATGATGGTAAGCAATTTAAGCGGTTTCCAACAGGAAAGGTTGACTGACCAATTGATGGTTAAGATTTAGAATCTGAGCACGAAATTCATTCAACAGCCGCAATATTTAGTCAAGTTTTAAATAATACAATTTATAATGATTGACAAGCGAGCAACAAATCAGTGTAAAAGGTAAGTAGGTGGCTTGCGCGGAGTGTAGCGGGTCGGAGCGACCCTCGCGCGGCGTGCCGACGTGCTGGGGTGGTGACAATCCAGTTAGCTGGTAATCTCATTAGCGCCCCACGCACCGCAGACCAGCCCTCACAACCGCAACTGATGAACTATTCTTTAAGAATGGAACAAAAAACAAACATAATCACAATTACTGTCGCCGCGGCTTTATTGTTGCTAGTGTAATCACTGAGCTGTTGGGTTCGATTCTCAATGTAAACTGTACTTTTAAGGAACGTTTTAGGTATTTCCAACAATAACCCTTTCTATATTGTAAAACTTATTAAGTATCATCACACGAGTGCGGCAGAAAAAGCCAACATGAATCGTCGTCAAATAGCATTGTTCTAAACAAGAAGTCGGTTTGTAGTAAGGCTTGTAGCCATTGATTATAGACGCAGACAGGCTGTAGCCGCTCAGCAATCGCGAGTGGTTCAGTTGAGCAACAGCTCCAGTACCCAGTAACCGGCAACCTGTTTCCCCTGAACGGCATTAGTGGATGGTGTGGGAGGACGAGGCCGTTAGATACACTTTGTACTTTACTGCTATATGTCAGATCGGGAAGATAAGCCAAAACATTATTAGCACCTCGAAATTCTCAAACTACACGATATTATTAATACAGATATTAGTGACTGGTTCTATTTTGTATTCCGTTCTAAACTAATGTGACGAAATGTGTTTTCAAGACAAAGCGACTTCTTTTTTATTTTTAATAACAATATCGTGTTTCAAGGCCGATCATAATATATTGGCAAATCACTAATACCTACCGTATCGCGTCCACTTGTCAAAATATGTATTGTTCACGTTACATATTACATTAAGATGTACACCAAGCATGGCTGTACTCGCTCTGTTTCAATAAAATGTCCAACAGTTGTGCAAATGTCAGTCATTTGTCATCAGCGAAGCGTTTAATTTGAAACTATTGAAAACCACTTGTCCAACACTTGTTAAGACTTCCTTTTTGTAGCTAAGTTGTATTCCACATTTTTTAGCAAACCATACTAGTGTGTAAAGAGACACGTGATATCAGTTTATTGTAGATTTTTTTATGAAATAGCAGGCAAACAAGCTAGCGTACTACCTGATGGTAAGTGGTCGGCGCCGCCCATGGACACAGGCAGCACCAGAGGAGTCACAGCTGCATGCAGATATGGGTAAGAAACCAACGATATGACACACCTGTGGAAAAATAAATTAAGCCATGTCGCTAAGTAGGCATACTACTCACAATTATGTGCTTTTTGCTAAAACTACATTTATTATATTTATAACTATATTTCCATAGTTATTAATTATATCCACCAGTCCATAGTAACCCATACCTATAACCCTATCAATTTTTACCACATTTCACAATAGTCCTGCATCAACCGGGGATTGTCCTTGGATGCACTTTTATAGTGCATACAGGGATAATTGCCGGCTGGTGTCCCATCACATTTAGATTAAAACTATTCAACGGGCCTCTGCGAGTTGGCTTCGGCTCCTCGTACGCCTTCCAAAGGTCCGGGGGGAAAGAACAAACAAAATATAACTATATTTATTTAAGAGATTTTATATTTATATTTGTTTATAACTACATTTATTTAAGAGATTTCCTCCACTACTATCGATGATAAGACACGGCTGGTCAAGCGCACGCCGCAAACGACTTGAGTACGCGGTGTCGTAGTACTAACACCGATATTATACAATGGAGGCGAAACAATAAAAACATTATACATTCAAATCTGAGGCAGTGAGCGGTCACCGACTCCAGCGGCGGCTGACAATGCGCAATAAAACATTTAATACCATTATTTGTTTATCAATCAGTGATTTGCATGTGTTTGGTGTACTTGGTGGTGACGTCACGCCAGATTTACATAGAATGTGCGCATGCCGTCGACGTCATATGCAATGTGCATCCACCACCATCCCACTGTTGGTCCACGAGTTAGACAAATGAGTTTTCCATGTGTGTTCCGTAGTAAATAACCTCAACTAAACCTGCACATTGATAAAGTCTACAATATGCACGAAGAATTAAGGTCTGTGTCTGTACTTGGTCTAGTTAATAACGGTTTATGCCAGTTAAATATGTATTTTTATTATATAGGAATGTTTAAATAATATTTAGATATATGTATTTGTGACAAAAAGTAGACAATCAGTTAGTAGATACTGAGTAGGTATATGAGTAGGTAAGTAATGTAGCGTGGCGTCACTGGTGTGGTGGTGTGGTACAGGCACTCTGAGGGGGAAAGTTCACAATAACAATAATGTTTGTGACGGTGTGTGGCGGACAAACACAAAAATCCACGTTTTTACATAACTTCTGAGGAATCTACAACACATAGTTGAATAGTATAGTTTTTGCAAAGTGTAATAATGCTAAAATTATAAAAAGAAAACTTAAAATATTTAAAATATAATGGTCCATTGTTTGTGAACGGTAATACAAAGTGACGAGATGGAACAGATAATATCTGGATTTTGACTGTGACATGTATGTAGGTAATTACGTACACCAGTGGCGTTGACGTGCACAAATTAAAAATTTAAATGATTTGTCGTTGGCATAAGTCGAAAATAATTAAACAATAAGCAATTATTTTGGTTTTATAATAATTATAGAGAACTCTTGAAATCAAAGCGAGGCTGTGTCGTTTTTGTCAGTACTTGTGACCTGCAGCAGAGCAGCTGCAGGTACACCTGTACCGCTGCGCAGGCGCCACGTGCGAGCTCATGGCAGCTCTATACATTTGTAAAATCATATGAATAGTCGGAAAGTGAAGCCACCGTGAATATATTTAAATTAATTACGCATCGCTGATGGCGAACGGTCCAAGGACGAATTTTGCATATGATCGTAACGGCACATAAATTGTTATCGCTGCCGCTTGTTACACGTTTTTATACATTTTTTGTCAACACAAGTTTACATTAGAACAGAGGTGGATTTTAAATAAACTTTCCGTTTATGTAAATTAATTAAGTAGATATTGGTCGATGGTTACGGGTTTTGCCGGCCATTTACTGACTTTTCGAACTTTGATATTTGTTTCATTTTATGATTTCTATCGAATAGAGAAACACGAGCCCGTGAGCTCAATATGGTTGGGTCAGTTGATGTATTGGTGGCGGCGGTAGCGGCACTGGCGGGGTGCACGCTGCAGCCGGAGGCTGACCCACACAATGGTACGAGGGGAGCACACAGATGCACCCTTCATGTTAGAACAGGTTTACTACAAGTACACTAATTTGAATAAATTCTCATGGAATACATTACGCAAGTGAAATATTTGAATAATTTATAAAAACTTCACAGGTCCACCCGTGTGCTTACAACCGTTGACTGTCACATCGGTGTTGTTCCTTCGTTAGGTAGTGTCGCTGGCACCCAGCAGATGTCGTATTATGCGTTATTCGTGGACATTCAAATACTATAATCACAGATGAAATATCAAGTTGTTAAAATCACATATTATGTTATTTATGTTACACACTACTTAACTAGATATCTATCAGTGGAGAACATTCTTTACTTTTTGATTAAAATCAATTGAAATGCAGTAGGTATTTTGATGCCAACTTAACAGTCTTATAGTGAGTAACAGTTTGTGGGACTAGAGCTATTTCATTTAAATGAGTACAAGTAATGATGTGCAGATACGTAGGCGCATCCTGCGAGGCGAGTCTACAAAGTGAAGAAGCCTCGTCGATGCAGTAACACGCCCATATTGATGTCGAATCTCTCATATGAACCTTGGGATTTAAGTAATTAGTGACACGCGATCCTCGAGGCTGGTCAAGGCGCGCGGCGGCCGCACGCTAGCTGAGCGCGCCGCGCACTTACTGGCCACGTTCAGCGTAGAACAATTGACAAAAATTTATTGCCTCATTACATTCACATAAAAACTGCTATTATGATTAATTGGAGACATGCTCCACGTCCCAGCATCGCTGGGAACTGGGCGCCCGCGCCGACCGGTCACTGCTGTAATCTAGAAGATATTTACCTACATTGACAGGTAAGCAGTGTTGGTAGTATGCCTGATTATATTGTTTGCTAAATAAATAAAGCAGTTAGTACTACATGCCAGGAATATTAAAATAAAACGACTAATGATTACTTTATCCCGACAACAAGACACACAGAAGCGGAGTGAGCGCAGTACAATCGTAACAAAGCTCGTATATTCGGGTGATCAGCGTTAAATTTGGGTCGGGCGGCGTAACGGGATGAAAAATGATTATAAACCGAAATCGCTCAAAATCCACAAAGACACGGCGCGTTACCCGGCTTTGTTCGCTTGTCGGACGCCATGATTTATAGCCGCTCGGGAATCGAACGCCATGCAAAATGTTGCGTCACGCTACGTACAGACTACGCCGACTACGAAACTTCGTAACGCCACATGCTACGACTGTTTCCGTCCGTACAGTTTGGCGCTGCAGTGCAGGGGCCAGCTTGGTACTGAATAGTATTTGCTTACGGGTGGTCGGCTCCGTGCACTACTCGTAGTCTGTACGCGTTAATAAATCGGACGAATGAGACGTCATTCCGATTCGATACGTATCGACGGCGTGGGGGACTGAATGCTTAGACTCTCATTGATTAAGTATACCTATTTAGTGAGACGAGGATTATAGAGCTTTTTGTATTGACCACTATTTAAATATTGTTCATTGTGAGGCGACCGCAGTCAGGCCGCATTAACATTATAATAATATATTGCACACTCAAATTTAGGCTCGCGCTGATCACCGCGACGCGGCGCAGTAAACTCAGTGCCTACAGCGGTACTCGTAACTTTACTTAGCATTGAAATTTATAGGTTGTTGGAGTAAAATCTCATTGTTTATCGCTTAGTTTGTGTTCTTCAAGGCTGGCGACTATTAGCAATGCGTAGGTACCTACATTCTTGATAGTTGTCCTTTGCATTATAGGGTCAACAGAACTTGACTCGAGCCATTGTCAACGATAGATAAATACATTGTAGCAATAATGTAATGAACGGCGCTGTGAGGTCACTGAGCACCGATTACACATATTTATTCTGTACTTTTTAGAGAAAAATGTGTTGTAGCAGTTAGGCTGGTCCTGTGTAGCCCCCATTTGAAACAAAGGCGGTGGTATGAATGTTCCAGCAGTGGTGTATTGTTGGCAGCTGGTCACCTACCGCGCACGGAGCCGCGGGGCTGACAATGGCGACACGTAGCAGCAGCGCCGTGTCTAATGTGGACTAATGCTACCCGCGCGCCGCCGCCACAATACCACCAGACAAAATGTCCGAGCGCGCGGTTACATTGCTCACACGGCACGTCACTCACTAGCAGACCAACTGCACACATGCATTATAACAGTATTATACCATCTACATCATAAACAATCAGGAACCGGGAAAATTGTTACACGAACTTTATAATTAAGTAAGAACGCTGATGTGGACATTGCTGGCGTAGCTGTGTAGTCGCTAGTACATCTGATTGCGACGAGAGTCCGTGGGACAATGGAGCCGCGCGCGTGCAGCGCGTCGCTCAACTATTCGGCTCACACGTAAGCTGTTAGAGTCGGAGGATAATGAATACAAATACACGGCTATTTAACTTCCCTCCAAGATACACTGAATATTAATATACTTTTCGCTTCGGACCTTTTATTTCAAGGGCAAGAGCTTTAACTAAAGGACTGTTCACATGTAGTTCGTCATGCGTGTACCATGGACCGTCGCATACCTTTATAGACATTGTCGAGGTATTCCAGACTGACTCATGTTTACAATTTATTTTATTTTTAATCTTTTACTGCTACTTATCTGGGGTTGACGTATCCATGTAATTCGATCTTAGGGAATGAAAATATTTCGTGTTAGTTAGATACGTGGAACTATTGGAAGTAACTGTCCGGTACATGGTCACTGCTCAGTACCTGATAATGCAATAACAGGTGTTGTGCATTAAACTATTACTTCCTGCACCAACGCGGTGCCGCGACTGCTGCAGTCTGCACTCGTCGGGAAGCGAACCTGACGCAACTTTGAAATCTACTTTCAAAGGCAGCAAACGTAACACATAAACATCGTACCCCTTCTCTTGACGTCGATCGAAAATAAATTAGCAAAAGATCTCATGCATCTAGGAATTTATAATGATCAGCCTTCAAGGAATAATACATTGCGCAATTAAAAACAATATAAAAGTTTCCATAACATCCTTCATCCAATTTTAGTTACATATTGGTTGCAAGTTCATAGTATCCTTACATTTTTTTTTATGTAATAGGTCGGCAAACGAGCAGACGGATTACCTGATGGTAAGCAATCAGCGCCGCCCATGGACACCCGCAACGAAGGAGTGACGAGTGCGTTGCCGACCTTAGGGATTAAGGATTTGGAGATTTAGGGATTGAGGAGGGATTAGGGGAGGGTAAGGATTGGGCCTCCAGTAACCTCACTCACACGGCGAAACACAACGCCGTGGTTATTTCACGCTGGTTTTCTGTGAGGTCATGGTATCACTCCGGTCGAGCCGACCCATTTGTGCCGAAGCATGGTTCTCCCACACTTAAACATAGTTAAAGATTGTTGGCAGGATGACTAAATAAAATAGTCAATTAACTTGAAAGCCGGATAAGTGAAGTTGAATGAAGAGAATATAATGTAATCCTGGATATCGTGGTAACTAAGCGGCGGTATCTAAAAATATCCCTTGTCACGAGAATCCTGCGTTAGGCCCCCCACACACGCGCTACTACGCGCGGCGACGTCGCGGCGCAGCGAGATGTGCGCGCGTGACGAGCATACGACACGTACGACATGCACGCACCACACGCAGAAGACCAACTCACAGTGCAGCGGACTCAGAGTAATACTGGCGCTCCTCTAAACATCTCGTCACATAGTATACACCCAATCTTAATGTACAATTATTCAATTGCGACAATTTGGTCAATCCTAATTCAGTTTAGTTGGAAATTAGAAATAGGTATGTAGCAACCAGAGCATTGTGTTTCGACGTGTGAGTGAGGTTACTGGAGGCTCAATCCTTCCTCCCCAATCACTCCCCAATATCTAAATCCTAAATCCTCAAAAGGTCAGCAAAGCACGCGTACCTCTTCTGTCGTTGCGAGTGTCCATGGGCGGCGCTGATTGCTTATCAACAGGTAATTCGTCAGCTCGTTTGCCGTCCTAATTACATAAAAAAAACGTCAAGAAAATATATTTGAAAGCTAAAACGACTTCATTCATTGGTAAGGCTTTGAGGCTGTGTAGAGTGTGCCTTCTGAAGTTGTACATTACTCGTGTGCAGAGGTGAGTAGACTCCAGTGTTTGTATTGTAGCGACTCATATCTCACTGTTGGAGACAACGTTTAAGTTTCAATCGTTCACTCGTTAGCGTTTCGACGACTACATTATTCGTTTTTGAATACAACCAGACTAACACACAGTTGCACCGTAACCTCTTTGAAGATATTTATGTAGTTAGTAAAAGGTGTTAAATTCGATAAAATTAGTCCTACGAAAGTATATATTTGTACCCAATATAATTTATTTGAAACATCAATTTTGTCTACGTACGAATACCTCTTTGGTTTACATTCAAACTGCGGAATTGTTACGTAACTGTCTCATTAATAAATGACTTAAGTATATTGTCATACAAAAGTGTGTTTATTCGCAATAACAATCGACGTTTTCATCAACAGCGATCACGAGGTGTAAGTAAAAATGTAAAAATCGAAGATGTGAAAGGTTATTATAATAATCTGACTATTGTTGTAAATTACCCGTCAAATGAAATTTAACTTGATCGTGATATCCCTGCGACGATCGTCATTCCGTTGGCTGTATAATTGTAATGATTGTTTACATTATTGCCTATCACTAGGTCATCTGCTTGCAATGTTCCCACAGTTAGCCGAGTCGCGTCACAGATACACTGCTACCGATTCTGAGAACTGATCACTGTCCCACGTTCGACCCTTGGGTTGGTCACGCAAATGATTAGCAGCAGTACAACATAACAATGAGTCTGATACCACGGCATCCGCGAGTGATGTTGGCGTTTGCCTGTGAACCGGTGAATATGGATTTAGTACCTACCTGAGCAGTTCTTCGCAAAGAGGTCGGTGCGCTGCGCGTGCGCCGCGGTGGCATGCGCGGCCGGGAGCTGCGCCTGCAAATTGCGCAATTAACAGATTCGCTAATAACAGATATCTGGCGCGCAAACAATATCGACGCGATGGGCGTAACCGTTTATTGCACAATCACTACGATAACTGTGTCTTTTCTCATGGTTTACTAGATAACAATGAACAGATCAAGTGACGTGATTGTACCTGCACATCTGAACAACACCTGCTAATGCATAACCAACTATTTAGGAATTACCATTATGTTCTTGAACAGGTGTTTCTTTTTTGACGTGATATTTGCAGCCGAGCAGTTTGCAAAAAAAGATAAGAAATAATTTAATGCACTCAAGTGTTGTTATTGATCAAATAAAAATTCAAAAAACACGGTTATAAATAAAGAATCGTCAGGTCCTGTGGTAGCACGTATACAAAATATGGGGCTGTGAAGTGATTGCGTTGGTTGCGGTCATTACCCGAATTCGGCGAGCGCGGACAAACACACGAGACAAAGAAAGTGCATTTTCCTACAGACTACACTGTAATCGTATATTATTTGGAGCGGCTTGCATTATTCATGAGACTATGATACGTGGAGTAAGGTTCATCGAGTACCGTCAGCACGCGCCCCCTACACTGATTTTATATTTTATTTCTTTAATATTAGCAAGGAAATTGGACAATAATCATACATCAATGTTGAAATAAACCACAATATAACAAGTGCTTGATTTATCAACGAGTCGGTATAGCGCGGGAATAGCAACAGTTCGGGGCTAATCTCCCAGCAGAGATCTCAATCATTCCGGCAGCAACGGTAACCTGACGGGGAACGAACTTATGGACGAGCACCAGCTAAATGAGCATTATATACTGGCAAACAAGTTGAGAGGAATCCAAACATTCGAAGTTATTTATGAAGAAACAAGGCCGTGAGCCGACGTGCAGCGGCCGCAGCAATTAAATAGGTATCTGCAATTAATAATGTGAAGTATTAGTTACACGCGATACGTGATGGTGTGGCTTTTTATGTCACTCCACAAATAAGAAAATGCCTGCTTTGTGCTCGCTAACTTGATAATTAAACGGAGCTCTGTTTCTTTTGTCGTTTGTTGATTTCTATGAAAGAAGAAATTCATTTATTAAGTTAATGTGCGAGTTGTTAGTTTACGAATGTTTCGTGTATGGGGTGGTTGTGTTGCTGTCGGTACCCGCGTATGTCGGTCGGTATGTAACGCGGAGGTTTGAGCCGGAGCGGCACTTATCGCTTATTGTTGCTAAGTGTTTATTTAAATATCGCTCGCCACCGCGCCGCGCCGCGCCGCATCGCTGCCTATCTCTCATCTTACGCTGGACAACTATCTCAAACGTTTACACAAATGTTTTAAATGAAACGTACAAAACTGCAAGTGATCTCATATTATTATCTTAAGGAATAACATTTTACTTGTGGACGTTTTGTTTTACATACATAACATATCATTGTTCCCTCTACTCCCCGAGTGGGCTGGTAGAACTGATGTTAAGAAATAGGTACTCAATTGCCGTCAAGTTTGTTACAAGTCTCTTGCAGGGAGATGTCTACTCTTTTGACATACCTATAATGTACGCGATCCTAAACCCATAGAGCCAGTACACCTGCTCTATCATAATACCAATATTTCCAAATTATTTCTATTTTATTTTAGGTACAGGAATTAAAAATATTTTGGTAAAGAATTTCGAAAAGTCAGCTGTTGGTTTTAGTAGATCCAATAAATACACAGTTACGTAGGTAACGGTGGGCTCAGCTGGCCGGAGTTGGGCGCAGGCCACACTCGCCCCTACGTTTATTAAATTTTGCTAAAAGAAAATTTAATTAAGAGAGTTTTTTCTTTTTATTTCACACCCCAGATTTCATTATTGGCGCAGACCGCGCGAAAGGGTTTAGTTTGTAGACATAGGTATTGGTAGAGGGGACAGCGGACTGTTACACTCGCTAGCTCTGGAACTTCGGCTGAAATAATCAGGTGAGCAAAAGAACACCCGTAACACAATGTTACGCGTCTTCTCTATAATTATGTTAATATAATAAAGGATTACTCGGAATAATTACACTTGTTTAGACTAGACCATAGAGCATACATTATCATTAAGAAAAGTGGATTAATCTAATTTATTAAAGCAAGAAACATTTTGATGATGTCATTTATTTATATTCCTACCAAATATCTGTTTACATTCTGTTATAGTTACAATCTACTAAACATGGCATACAACTTGTGATCCTACATTAAAATGAAGATAAAATGTTATTTAAAAGTATTAATATTGGCACAAAAACGAATGTTGCAAGTAGTGGAAAGTAAAGTTCGTTTTTATACTACAATCAACATTTAATCTGAGCTATCTGTACGATTGTGGAGTCTGCGCAACCCCAGTGCGGCGTACGTGTAAAAAGTGGAAAGTGAAATATAAAAAGTAACAACAGTTTGGTCGTAATTCGGGATCTGCTGTAGCGGGAGATTTACAGCGGACTCTTATTGCGAGCTGCAGCTACGCCTTTATTAATAACTGGCCCTTCAAATTAACAACAACTTCATTTTACGCAAACGACAAGGTGTCGTTTTGTTTAAGAGATTTTCTCTAAAATTTTTCCACACCATAAAATTTAAAGGAAAGCTACAAGTTAGTGAGTTCAGCGTCAACTTTTACGTATGTAAGTACCAAAGTTGTTTCTAATTGACACATTGACAGGTTAAATGTGATGACAAGTAAAATAGTGAGTTAGCGACACTTGGAACATTTGTCACACAAATAATTCGCGAAGGCTCCTGCCAACAATACAACTTAAATAAACATCGCATAGCATGAATCAGCCGCGCGGTCGTATTCACCTGTCATAACACAGTCCGACAACACTCGGTACCATTACTTTAAAATTATCTGCTGAACTATCATTTAGCTATATTAATAGCTAGTATCATCTTAATATTATACACATAGCTAAAAAGAGAAAGAGATGAAAACAGTAAAAATGAAGTGGCACAATTCACCTTTATTTCTAACGGTGTATTATTTGTTAATTTTAATTTAATATTAGAATTATTATTCAGCATCAATACGGAGCATCATTCAGAGACAATGAAAAGTAAATTTTCTATTTTGTCACAATTAGACAAAATGAAAAAATATGTTGCAATAGTTAGTTACGGACGCGACGCGACGGAGCGCAGAGCGCGGACACAGCTAAATGTCAAGATGATGAATATGACACATGTCAAAGTTTTGATAAACAGTTTATATTAATTTGGTTATTATTAATAAATATGGCAGTGCGATATTAATTAAAGGTTTATCACGTTTAGTCGTGTGTGGCCTGCCTACGGGTATACCACCATTTCCATTGGGTGTGTGGAAGCTAAACTACTTTCCTTCTGCATTCATAACATACTTTGAAAAACATAAAAAGGTTAACGATTATTAAGTTTCTCTATTTAGTACTAAACAAAATAGATTCAATTAATTAGTATATCTAACATATATGCAGATGACTGTACAGTTGGCGGAGTGGCTGGGCAACCGGCAGCTGAAGTGTCGATTACCGCATCGACCTATTCGTTGTGTGAAACACAAATTGATAGTCCGAGTGTAGGTATGATATAAATTAAAATCCTAGTGTAGGGCAATGATCTATTATACCAGTGGTAAGCGAAAACTGGTCCTAAGTTAGATATTATTGAATGTTAATTTCGTATTGAGCTAAGAAATTTAGTTTCAGAAAGATCGTTAATAAGCTTGCACAGATTTTCCTGTTTGTAGTTAAAAGCTATCTGCTAAGAAACTGCAGAACAAAAAACTTAATTCTAGTTTACACACGATTTTATTATAAAGATACTAAATTCGAAATATAATTTATATTTTGGTAATATTATAACTGCTGTTTGAAGAAACTAACTTGCACGAATTTCAAAAAATATTTAAATTTCGAGATTTCTAAACGAGATACTTCACTGTTATTTTAAGATAATTTTAATGATCTAGAAATTTTGCAATAAAATACAGCAAATCGTCGAACACCATTAGAAACGGTGACATTTATTTCGACATTATTTTTTAATTTACGTTCTAGACATATGTAGTGGCATATTGAATAGCTACACAAACGTTGGGCAATATGGTGAGGATGCTACCAGACTGGTCGACGGCTAACGGAATGTTGTTCACGAGTCGGCAAACGTGGAGCCGACACCTGACGACAGCCCAAACCTCGCTCGCGCTGGATCAACAACGAACTATGTGAACAGAGCCACGGCGGCGGCAGCGAGCCGATGCTGAAAGCCTAATGTAATAACGTAACTTCTACCTCCGTCACTGCTTGTTAAGCAACTCTTGAATTAAATTAATGGCAACATTCTAATGCGTTTCAGAATATCAATGTTTCACATAAATGTCGATTTAGCAATATGATAAACTAAAACAAAGATGTCACTGGGAACATTAAAAGTTACGCAAAGCATCGACCGTCGACCGTGAACTGTAATCTTAAATGTAGTAGCACTACGTTACGAACCACATCTCAATAATTCAAAAATAATGTTCCAAATAAAACGGGGCGCGATGCGAAACGGTACATATCGGAGCGATAATAAATCGCGGCTGTAGCCGATCGCACCTGACTCGGCGCGGATTCATAGTTTATGAAGATGTAGGGCAGCACAGGGGGATACAGCCCAGTACTGTACACCATGGAGTACTCCCGGCGCCGCGTACGGGGTGTCGTAAACCATATTCGTGGAATTATGCATCCCCGGCGAGAGCGCGGCGCGCGGCGCTGGGACGCGTCAATATTTGATGGCGCTGCAAATCGATGCACGACTGGATATGACTCCTAATCTGTATTTACGGTTGCGGGAGATGATAGTTTTTCGTTTGCGGCGCGTTCGTGACGGGAGCTGTGAAGGGACGCGGACGGGAGCATGCCGTAAGCTGCAGTTCAATTATTTTTATCCGACCAAATCAGGTTATTTATGGTTTTTATGTGACAGCCAGATTAATATGGTGGGCGAATGGATATATGGAGACGATTTCCCTCGGAAAAGGTGAGACTAGGTATGCATAGATTTCACAGAACAAAAACTGTGTTATTGGCACCTAATGCTTGTCAAATCTCAAACTCACATCTCTAATCAATATCGATTGCTTTTTATTGAAAGCAACATCGCTTCAATCATTTCATATGAAATTCTTTAAGTAGATTACTAAATTGGTGATAAGGTATTTTCATCAATTTCATCAGGTGGTGTCATTTAGCACGGATCATTGTTGCCAGAAAAAGGACGAAATGCAGACAAGTGTGGCAGGGCAAGCAGACAGCAGGTAAGCTTGGATGAGTGTATGCTATGTGATAATAAGGAGTATCATGCGATGGGAAGCTCGTGGCTCCAAGTAATTGTGCTGTAATTGGCGCAGCACCGCGCGACCCTCGATTAACTCTAATGAGCTGACTTTGTAGAACATTGTACCAATCTTGTTTATCACTAGCTTCTCTTACTTTACAGGATCTTCGACTTCATATGTTTAACAATAAGTTATCGGTCTGGTACCACTCACTTGTCTGCTAACTTACCGAAATATTGTCAAAGCGTTCATATACGCAGTAAGTTGTAAATTAAAACAGAATTGAAATAATTAAATGGTTATACTGTTGTGGCACGTGTGTACATTATTCATGAAACCTGAAGTTAAAAACTTGAAGTTGCTTGAGATAGTGTTAGTGTGAGCGGTAGAAGTAATTCATCAGTTCAGTGTCGAATGGTGCCTACGGTAGTTGATTAGGGCGCGTTATCAATACACGAGCTAGCCGGGAACTAGTCCTCGGTACTCGCTTCACATTTACACTAAGTGTCACATATTTAATGCTGAAAACTGGTTACTGTATTGCGATTACATGGCTTTGTACTCTCCTGTTCTCATGCGGAAATATATTACGTTTTTTTTAAAAATAATTCACCTGTCATGCCACAGTCGTATTATAATTACCCCGTGTTCGTCCACAGCTAAGCATAACTCTTTTTAATAGCATGTTTTTGAGTCTGCATCTCAGTTTTCAAAGGTTGGCTGTAGCACGGATCATCCCTCTACCAAGCTGGAAAATGCTCTACTCTACTTTGGAGGAATGCGCCTGTTGCAGCGGTCATCGGTTCTTCAACAAATAGCACCATAAATACCATAATAGTATACTTGAAAAGGCGGTGATTTGGTTTTTATTATGTAACACCTCTTTATAAGTGTACATGAAGATGTTTTGCCACCAGTACCCAGTCCCTATTTTCATGGGTTAGGTAGGCACGGATCACCCGATTGTAAACGGTACTGCAGGCTCATGGACACCCACAACACTAGAGGACTTACAGGAGCGTTGTCAGCCTTTGGGGGTTAGATTCGATGATTGATTCTGCGGCAACCTACTTGTGTTGTTTGGCTATCTGACTATTTTCAGACTAATACTGTTTAATAAACGACATTCCTCAGAATCCTGTATAAAAAACGCCGTTAGTGACGAGGTAACTAAATGTGCTTTATGTTCCAAGCAAAGTAAAGCCATATTGGTCTACTAGGTGTCTAAACATTTGCTGGCACAAGTAGGCGTGGTTGGTCTACCTACGTTACTCTAATATTTAGGTAGTACCTAAATATTTAAATGTGGATGTTGACTGTTGTACCTCGTATAGTGTGTCTAGTATGGAAGTAAACGACAGTGGAGAATATTAAGTTTGATAAGTTATTAGAGAAGCGACAGATATCGCGGTGCCTCGATCGGAGTCCGTCCTACGCTCGACCTATAAAACACCATTTTCCAACATGATATCATTAGTTTGGACTGGTTTCGGTTCATTTTTACCAGAATAGATTCGCTTCGATACCGGTTGCCCCAACTGAAGGCTCGCTAGATAACAGTACACAGTATATTTATGTGTCGTGCTGTCGCTAAGGCCGGTTGTCACACGGAGCCGTACAGCCGCGGACGGACCGGAGCGAACCGACGGCGAACCGCACAAGCCCAATTCAAACATCATAGTTTCGTGTTTCATAATGAGCAGAACATGTTTTTGTGGGCTAGCGCCGGCGGTGGAGTCGCGTGTGCACAAGTAGTAGGACTTAAAGGTGGGTCTACAAGAATTCACGGATTTATTTTGTGCAGGCGAGTCTTTCAGATCGTTGCTAACTTATTGAGGACGAAGTGCTCTGGTCCATCAGTCCTATCAAAATTTGATTTTGTTTTAAAATTATCCGTCGGTATCACCCTCTGCTTTGAATTTCAGCTGGTATGCTCTTTAAAACAAAACTTCATTGTACAGTCATTTATTTCTGTTCTTGACTTTACTAAAGTCATTAACTGGTTAATGTGTTTGAATCAAAACTTGAGATGGTGTAAGTAGCTGCAAATATTGCATCAGCTAATTGCAGCATGTATTCAGAGTCTAACGCGTCCAGCAGGGAAACACTTGCATTCGTCGCAAGACGAAATAATGGCGGCGTCCAGTGGCACGGAACGATGCGGTTGATTGTGTTCGCAGTTATAGATGTTACCACCGCACCACGCACGGGAAAAAGTACTATTTTTCATGCACAAGCTCTCATATTACCATATAAGGAGAACATGCTTACATTCTCAGAAAAAGGTGCGCTTCAATAATAACAACCTTACGCTACGCAAATACATTACAATTTCCAATGGCCCGGCTAATCAGTTAGCCACTGCAGAGCAACATTAAAGACACGATTAATTTTTTCTAATGATATTTGACATTTTGACAGTGCACGCTAATGTGCTCAATGGCTCTTCAAATATTGTTCAGTTTTTGCTCGTAAAAGACGGATATGTATAGAGGGGCGGTCATCTGGAAGCACAAGGCTGACTTGTGTAGATGTACTTACATGTTACTTTTTCTTTTATTCCTCTATTTTAGTATAGTTATTTCACTTGTCGCTGCTTTAATGAGAAGAATGAGGTGAGTATTACAATGATCACTCAACAGTTTTATCAATGACTCAATTGGCCTCTTCATAATAATATTATAATAGAACGCAAGTAGGAGTTGTCTGCTCCGAGGCGCTCGTCGTGCCGCCTAAGAATGTCTAGTGAATGTGGTCGTGTCCCAAACGCGGATGAGTGTGATATACTGATATTAGCTTTTTGGTGAACTCGCGCTCGTTAGCCGAATATGGCGAACTTATACTACTATCAATATTTAAATCTAGCTTGTATTGGTGACAATTTAGTGGCAGTACCGCTGTCGGGCGACCTCCAATGCTTAGAAAAAATATTCTAACAGATCCTGATCTTTGACATTCTAGAATGGAAGATTTCGCAAATGATTTCGGCCTTAACGCAGCTCGCGGTTAATGAGGTGACGTGAAAACTTTACGAGCACTGCGCTTGTTACATTTGAATATTGACCTTATCGTTATGGAGATAAAATATGGGCCGTGAATTAATGGTCCGTCGAATAACTGATCTGTTGACATACACACAGCACATTTGTATAATAAATTAATTGTCAGTTCCAACATTATGAATATTCTATAAATATTCTGAGAGTTGTTACATCTAGAGTATCGTAATAGAAATAGATTTTATTAATTCATTCAAATAAGTAATTAATCTTATTTGCATTATTAGCGAATTAGATTTTTTGCGCCGTAGCGACAGTCTCCACAGACATTGAACATATAGGGGTTGTGATGTCACTATAATTCAGCCATAAATGCCTGCTGAGTACCAGGCACTAAGCAGGTTTCACGTAATTTCCCTCGGCCGTCCGATCGCCTGTTTATCTAGCCGTGGCAGCGTATCGATTACCTTACATTATAAAACTCGTTGACATTTTTAGAGTCGCGCAAATTGCAAGGTGGACCTGAGCCTGAGCTCTGCATGCGGCAGCCGGTTACAGGCGAGGATGACTCCTGGATGACCATGTAATTGTACTTGTGTTGCACCCTAGCGACATGATCTGGAAGATGCGTTACTATTCATAAATCTGTAAATTGCATGTTGTGATAAAACTGACTATAAACCTAATTGACAACACCTTAAAATTTGTATCCTCTGGGTTTGGTTCTGGTTAGTTATTTACCACTGAGGTACGCGATATGTAGGAAGATGCAGCACCACGAAATGTTATATTATGCCATCGACATTTTATTTTAGAAATCAATAAATAGTAAGAATGTATGGTGTTTGATCGATCATTAAGTTTACTTTAAAATAATTGTGGTCCGATTTCCCAAATAAGTATAAAATGTGATGGCTTATGATAGTTATTGTTAACTTACCCGTTAAAAGTAAGTTATTGCGATATGATGCGTCGAATACAAAGGTTAATTTATCTAAGTAGTGATGCTGGGACAGGGCTGTGGCCGGCTGTCGGCGCGGGACGTAACATGCACACTTTATGTTTATTGAGACTGATTCGCTATCTGCACTCAGCTTCTTTTGCTATCTCAATATTGCGCCGTGCCTATAAAGTACGGGAATCACTGCCTCGTGACACCTGGCCAGTGTCCCCTGGATGCTGGCCGCCATATAACGCGGAGAGTTAATGGCGGAGGCAACGATTGTTATCTTTGCGATTGTATGAGTAAATATATCGAACACTGTGAGTTAGTGATGGATTGATGTTAGGTCTTAGGGTCTACGCATCTACATTGTGTGGATGACTGCTAGGACGGGCGCGTGGAGCGAGTGTGGCGCGGCCGTCGACCTTGCGGGAAATCGTGCCGGAGAAAAGCTTTCCTCCTGCTCGTGACGTCGCGACGCTACGACGCGAACACTGCTCTACTTCCTTCATAATTATTTTATTTCAAACAGATACCACACTTTTCACTATGCAAATTACTCATGTATCTGTATTTTGATAAGCTAATTTGGTGAGTGAGAGTCGTTAATGAAAGTGGAAAGTCACTAGGCGCAGTAGTTGAGTAAACTTATTAATTATATAATGAAAAACAGTCTATTAATTCTATCGAAACTAAATATCAGTGACTGTCAACGCTAAAAACCTAATTATTAATTCAACCTTTCAAATAGCCTGATGTTCGTCGCAGTCACAAACTCCTCGTATATGAATACCTGAATTTTATTTACAACCTGTTATAGTAAATTACGCAACATTTTAGACTTAGAACAAGTCTAAAACGTTGCGTAACTTACTGAGAGACCTTAAAACGTGTGTCGATGAAGCAATAAAGCTATAAAATGTCACAGTTAAATATAATGTAAGCAGAGCATCTCAGATATAACAAATAAGACAAACAAACATGTACCTATCGGTTAACATGAGGAGCTTGCAAAAAATGTGTTGCTAATTAAAATTCACAATAATTCGTTAGCAACATAAACATGTAGAAGTAGCTACAGGAGCAGGGACAAGTGTTGACAGCGCTGGTCGTGGCGCAACGTTTACGAGCGAACATCTTCGAATAAGGGGGGGACTCTATTGTCCTATATTTTTGGGAGTTGGAAGTAAATCATTGTGCGGCATGTTTGGGCATGGCGTGTGACGGCTGAAGCGGGATGCATCACGTAGACTGGTGTATCGGCCATCGTCGCCAGACGTCCGGCCGGACTTATAGGGCGTCCCCAAATAGAGCCACTTGCGGAGCGCGCGCGCTCGCGCATCGCATACTAATACAACGCACTGGGCTAACGCTTCAATCGATACCAAACAAATCCTCGCACTAGTCACTGCTTTGTTCTAGCCCCTGTGCCAATATTGTCTACAATGTACGCATCTACGTTTAGACACAGGTACAGCCGATTGGTTCACAGGACGAAGCATTGGTTATATCGAGGGAACAACATATAATTACGCGGGTATTTACGCGAAAAGTAATTGTTTAAATGGAAAGTATGACGTTTCAACCTGGTTGCACAGGTCGCGGTCGCAAGCAGTTAGTATATCGAGGGAAGACAACGCAAAGAATCAATTTGTTATTAATAATTTACGGGCCTTTGATTGAACAATAAGATATAGATGGCACGGAGCACGCCCAAATTTCGGTTAGCCGGTAATATTTTAAATAGTACATAGATCTAGAATCTACATAATATGAATAATCCTTTATTTAGTATTTGAAATTTCCTTCTGAAATAGATGTGTAATACTGAAATTATGTTTGGTAATACCTACTTGGATCGTTGGTTATACGTCACACATCGATACTGCGCACACTAGCACAGCAGGTAACTTGTCAGGTATTCAAAACCAGCTATTATCATTAATTTTCATATCTTCCGGTTAGAACATAAACATTAAATATGTTAAGCTTTTTATGATGTTAGTATTTGATGTGTTAAACTCGATATCGGTTTTGTAATGTTTTAATTTGCAATGCAATAATTATGTTAAGACGTCTACGGCCTAGCGCTAAATCAGTTTCTGTATCGAATAGTCAATTATAGTAATAATCTGGTAATAAATTATGTTTGTAATTGTGAGGTAGAGTATTTGTGTGTATAGGCTTTTTGAGCTCTTGTTAACTGAGTGAGTATAAATATGAACAGTCAATAGTGCAGCCGTCATTCACTGTTAGCAAGTACAAGCTTATTAGATAGGTACGTAGGTACCTAGGTATGATTCTTCTTACACACCAATATTTCCTTCAAACATGACATTAAGAAAAGCTAGAAACACTTGCAGCCTCTTTCGAAATCCTGCATTAGGTATACGGTCCAGTGATGCGTGTCTGCTCCGACAGTCGCGCGTGCAGCATTGACGCGGAGCGACGAGCGTTTGTCAACGCATGCTTCGATGCGTCGTTTTTGTGGCGCGTCCACAAATCTATGACGCTACGCATCAATGGACAGCAATACTTACGCGAAACTGTCTGCATATCATTGCCGACTTTATTTATTGTTGAAGTTTCTCTCAAATTGCTCCCCCCCCCCCACGATGTGTCAATGTGCTGTTATTAAATGTTCTCTCGTGACATATTGGTCATTTCTATTTATCTATTTTCTACAATAAATATAAGTCGAAGGAACCTTATAAAAAGAGCAGTATTCTGGGCAATCCCCAAAACCAGGAGGTTACTCTGAAGGTTAGTGAAGGATATTTCCTTACAATTAGGTATATTATAAGATGCGGATCGATGGCAGCGGCTAGTTGGTACTGCGGTCACGTCGCCGCGCGTAAGTAATCACAACTATATCTAGCTACCGGGCTACGCACACATACACAGCCGCGTGTAGCCGCTCGCCTCGTAGCCACAGCAACGGACGTAACTCAAGGGATACTGGCTACTAGTGGCTACTGACAACTTATCCTAAGCAGGTCTCTTCACTAATGGTGACGAACTTTGATGGTTCGTACATTTCTCTAACTACAATGGTCGAGTAGTCATAACAAAGTCCTTAATGTGGGACATAAAAATTTTCAATCGTCATATTACTAGTACTTTGGTTTTAGTGAATAAATACTGGTTGACAAAATTATTGTACTTGCCCAGTGCGTTCCCTCAGCATCCTTGATAATGAAAATCAATTAGATACGTTTTAAAAATAGAAACATTATTTTAAACGAGCCACATGCGTACATAGCTAAGTTGCATGACTACATACATAGGCAGTGCAATACGGATTACAATTAGCATAGTCGTGATCGAGCGACGGATAAAATTAACAACATGCTTAGACATATGAAGTTGTATTTGTAGGGTGTAAACTAGTGGGAACTGGGAACCTGACCAAGTTATTTCCTCGAGGAGGTTTGGAGCACCTACATTCATAGAAGGTAGCACGCCGAAGAGCGTCACGTCAGTGTCACGTCCGGGAGTGACACAAACAGACACACAAACAATGCAGCACCCGGACGCGGCCAGTGACACATGTGTGCGTGTAGAAAGTTATACCTACACGCGTATTGTCAGGTATTTAGGAGGTTGTGGCTAGATGCAGAACATACAACTTGTGACACAAAGATTTTTTAAATACCTAGTTATGTAGGTGACATGAATAAACACGACGCAAAGTTTAGGATAATCATGTCACTTACAACGTTCATAAAAAATTTATTAATATTTATATACAATTAGAATAATATTATATCTGTGGGTAAGTGGGTGTGATTGTTATCAATGATCAGCATTGGCCGTAGGATTATTGTAAACATTGGTGTGGAATTGTAAAGCTACAAAGAAAAGTGAAACCTTTCATTTTACAAGTATAGAGGCAGTATAATGATAGTTGTGAATGCGTCCACAAGTGTCACAATAGTGTATCGTCACCTACGAGCAGACCACCTGGCCAGCCGTCCCACACGGCCGCCGCCCGCCGCCGCTCGCCAGCCTATTCCAACAATCAATTACTCCACAATATTGTATGTAAACTCCGCTAAAGATGCGCGCGACGTCCAAAAACACAAAAAAACAAACTGGAAACGTCAAAAAGCTCAACGCTCGTCTGCCGAGACAGAAAAGTAAACAAAACGCATCAATCAGAAGCATTCAGTGCAACAGAGGACGCGGGACACGGCGACGAGCGCGCAAAAACCACTGCTCCCAGGCAATAACTCAAAACTGCGAACATCTCGACTCGCTCGGCCAGTAGGTAACTTACACTGTGCGTTTTTTAGACTCTTGTCACTCGTCAAACAGTCGTCGGGCTCATGATGGGCTGCCTTCGATGGACGCCTGCCAACCTCCCCCTCAACACTAAAACGGCCTGAGACTGGCCGCTTACAATCGAAATTAAAATTTATATCCGAGGCATTTAAGTATCAATTCGATCGTCGCAGCGATGTCGTTACGTTGTTGTTGTTGGCAGCAGATAGCAAGTGGTAGTGTTTTTTTGCCCTCAGCGACCTGGCGGGCTCGACGGAACTGACTTGCCCATTGTATGGTAATACCCGGCCGGATTTTGTTCGAGCTCAATTATATTATGAAGCTTAACCGCACGGCTAAAGTCAAAAGTCACCCGTGTGTCTTTTGTTGCGGTGAAAACGCGCGCGTGGCT